TCTAGACTTGTGGCAGACTGGGCATCATCGTCGAGCTGCACGCGAGTATAACCCCTCCCTGCTCCCCCCAATCCTTGGTATACAGCTTCGTCACCTTCTTCTTTGGCGCCGCGAGCGATGAGCCTCCCATAGTCATCATAGTAGTCGAATTCTCCAAGTGCAGGCATCGATTTCCATTCATCGGGCTCTTCCTCTGACTCTTCACTTTCGGGGTGATGTGCATCAGGTTGGGCGAGGCGCTGGTGCGACCATTCCGACACCTGGGCGGGTCTTTGCTTCGAAGTTGAGGTCCGAGGCTGAGTAAGAGCCTCCGAGGCCTGTGAATACTCCGGGGGTGCAGGAGAAGTGTCCCGCACCTCTGCGCCCTTGCCTTGCTCTTCCGTATTATTCGGATTGGCTGGCTGAGCCCCGGATTCCACCTTGTCCTGTGGCAAATCTGGCCCCTTCACCCTTTTCACAGCATCACTATAGCCCGTCGAGCTTACAGCCACATCCTGGATGTCTTGGTTGGCATTCTCTCCTTCGGGGGACTCGTTGGGTGTGGGGTTGGGTCGGCATGGTCGAATAGGAAGGCCAAAATCATCTACTTCATCTGGTGCGGAGGGATCTTGTGTGGCAGACCCTGCAGCAGGTTCGGATGCTACTGGTTGGGGCGCTGGGCCCTTTGTCTCTTTTTCATTCTGGTTTGTGGGGGAATCGTCCTTTGTCGATTGGGGTTGGGACGAATGGGGGGCGTTCGGCGGGGAAGGTGTAGGAGAATCGGAGGTGTCTACGGTGACACCCGAGGCTGCGGTCATGATTTCATGGAATGGAGGCTCCTGGGGGCCCAAAGGTGTATCGGATCCCAGTCCCTTGCGTCCTCACGTTCCTTCGCGATAGCTTCAGGAGCTCACCCATTCGGCCTCACAGTTATTGCGTTGAACGTTTGAGCTCTTATCTGGATGTGTCCTTGTTTCGAGTTCCCACGTCCGATGGTAACTAGATGGTCATCGGACAAGGGTTGGGCAATCTCAGATGACGGTGTGTCCGCGCGGCGAAAAAGGAGGGGCGGAGAATGCGGAGAGTTCAATTAGCACAGAACAAAGGATTTGAGTCCAAATTTTGTAATTAAAGAATCATTGTAGAGAGATACTTGGAAGTTTTGAAAATGTTAGGCAACTAGCAAAAGGAACTGTTGAGGGACCGAAAGCGGACATTCGCCCATCGGCTCCCTAAATAAACAAGTCTGAATGAAAACAGTAGATACTTAGGATACTTGAATATACATGCTTTTGGATACTGACATTCTCATACTCTTTCAACTCTTCATCTCAGGTTATAGAAAAGTCGCTTTCACAAATCAAGCCTTTTACCGTTTTCTTTCTGCTGTCTACCTATAAAACTGGTAAGGGGGAGAAACATATCTTAGACATCACAGAATATCTGGAAAGACCACTGAAAAGACATCACAAGACATAAGCGGCCGTCTACATACTCCTATTCCATGTACTCTAGAACGTTTCACATTTAGGTCAATGCTTGTATCCACCTCGGAATAACTGTCTACCATGTTTGTGGCTTATTGTATTATTTTATACAAAGCATGAAAAACTCACTGAATCGGAGATAGATCTTTCTGGTTAGCCTTTCATTACGAGAATTAATACGAGGACATTGCCACCATAGCCCTGTGAGAAAACCCGGGTAACGAGGGGTCTCTCACCGCACCCGAAGACTCCGAGAGTCCCTTTTGATATGGGTGAGGCGAGCCTTGATAAGTAAATCCAAGGCGAAGAGTCGGTAGGTGCTGATGGGGCAGTGTCAGGGTACTTTTGCCCGGGGACCTTCAAGATAACAAGGAAAAGCATAAGATCGACTCCGCCCATCTTCGTAAGCCAACGAGAAGTTGAGAAAGCATAGAATATGACGCCATGAATCGCGGGTACAAACAGAACCCCGTTCGATTGCATATGTCAGATGTGAGTCACTTGATGTGCAGAAGGTTGCGGCTCTCTAGTCCTTGGCAGAGAGTAGCTTGAGGTTTATGATCTCTGACTTGGGGAAATCACTTTGTCTTTGATCTATATGATCTGAAACACTGCTTCATTATGACAGGTATGCCTTTCTCTTTGAGAGGTTGAGAAATTCTACTAATGAGCTTCTCCGTATCTACAGGCTCACAGGCTTCCATTGTTAAGATCGCCGGCGCAGGGTTTCGGCTCTCACTGCTCCTTAATGCTGCCGCTTGTCAACTCGCCCAGTCCAGACTGGAAATTCATAGCATCGCCAAGGGAATTTCGCTTTTCGCTCTGACCCTCAAGCATTTCGGGCAGACTATTGAGGGTACAGATGTGGACCAGTCTCCAGAGGCAACGGAGAAGGCTTGGGAGATCGCCGGACAAGGCCAGATGATCTTCATTGAAATCGAACACATGCTAGACAAGCTGAAGGCAACTGATAAAGACAATGATCTTATGAGGATCCCACTACATGAGAGACTCAAATCGTGTTTCCGGAAGCAACATGTCACTTATCTGCTAGCCCAGTTGGAATCTCTCAAGCTCAGCCTGGTTGTGATGCTACAGACTCTGCAGCTTGGAAACATTATCAAATCTAACGTTGATGATGGGATCGATGCCGATTCTCTTACATCCACCGCCGACGATGCCATCGCTCAGGAGAAAGCGGAATCTCAGAACATGATCATTGTCCGATATTGGTCTGTCAAGCGTCTCGATCGCTTGTGGGATCTTGTGGAACAGGAGAATTTGGATGCCGCTAATGACCCGACAAACCAGAGGATCAGTTCCAACTACTCTTCCAATGCGGCACGCTTGAACCCAACAAGACTGCCCATCATTACTTTTGGAGACAGTGACGTGGGACTGAGTGACATGGAAAGATCCCCGAAGGATATGGTGCAACTATCCGAGAGCACATTGAACCGGCTGCTTTCACTCTGGGTGCCTTTCGTTGACCCATGGAAATTACGCCACGGCAAAGGCCTCGACATATCCGATAGGCTAGTCCAACCTCGAGTCTACGTCTCTTCGGACACCGAAGATGATACCTCAGAGCTAGATTTTGATAGCCACGACACCCGAGGTTACGGTTACTATCTCGAAGGATCAACCGCGGACTGGAGAGACCCTCATTCACAGAAGGCCCGACAGCATGCAGCAGAGCTACGCCGGAAGTACTCCAGCTACCAGGCTCACGTGGAAAGCGAACCAGAGCCCGATGAACATCTCAAGCATCAAGATAACCCTCGCAGCGACTCGAGAGTCATCGACTCATGTGATGAGGGCGAGCAAAGAACCGACACTCTTAGGCCCTCACACAGCACCAACCCTATGCAAGGCCGTTTCCATTCCAACAGCCTCTCATCCCGATATCCTCCAAGTTACAACAACCCCGACAACAGAGCCCCCGCATACCCAAGCGGCAGCTTCCCACCCCCGAATCATGCTCTACCCCGTCCTCCACCACTGCCTTCACACACACAGCCGGGTCCTGCCCAGCCATACAAATACTACCCAAACCAAGATTATGCCACCGCGCCCCGATCCATCCCAATGAACATGAACCAGCCCAACAACCCACCCATCACCATTCCCAATACCAACCCTTCTCCCAGAGGCTCATCGCCAAACCAAGTCCACTTTGAGCCCCCTTGGGCCCGGAACCAGGTATACGGCAATGTCCCCAACAACAACAAACTCCAACCCCGCCACTATTCATCTGCATACCCGCTTTCCTCCTCATCCCCCGAGTCTAGCTTCCGAGCCTCACCGCCTCGCTCAGATCAACGGTCCCCGACATCGCGCCCACGTCGATCATCCCGCGAAGAAGCCAAGGAGCGACATAAGGCATTGACTCGTAATGCTACAAGGGGGTTGGTGGGCATCGGGGCTATTGCTGGGTTTATGGATGCGCTGGAGGCGTTTTCAATTCTGTGATTTACATTGCTTTACTTTTGCCCGTTTCCTATGGCTTCGGTGTATTAGGTTTATTAATTTTTCCCGAGGAGTTGGACAGACTAGGTTCGTGGTTCTGGGTTCGGTTGGCTTCTTGATATCCCATGTTCTATCTATGCAATGAATTGACGAACTTGTTTTTACTGAGACTATTTGCACAAACTATGATTAAAGACTTGCTTATGCATTATTACATATGATTACTGTCTGTTGATTCGGATCCTCCATATCCCGCTCCATGAGCGTGCTGTACAAAACATTCTCGAATGTCCAGGCAGTAAACAACCCTACAAATAGCGAGAAAGCAGAATATCACGTCAAAATACCGTACCGATGCATTGACAAGTTAATCCAAGAACCAAAACCTATCGTCTCTCCGCATCAAACTCGTGTTCGGGCTGTCGGCTCGGAATCGCGGAATCAGGATACAAGGAGGGCAAGACACTGTGCACAAGCCAAACCAAGAACTCATACCCATACAGCATACAGCATGCTCCATAGCGTATAAATGAATGGCCAAGACACCGAATAATCCACAGCAGACCCATGTTCACTATATCTTTGATAATCAAAGCGTCCCCTACGGTTCCATCGCGGAAGTTCCGATTCTCCCGAACCTCCGACAGCACTTTGCGAATGTATTTGTCTCAAGCTAAATGGGGTGGATTAATATCCGTTGGTTTTGCAATACTACCTCTTTGTTGGGGTCTATTTTCTTCTCTTCTTCTTTTCTTTTCAACTGGTTGTGTGGGTTTTGTTGGGCATGGATATGCCTGCTGCCTTCCATGTTCTATACTCCGATGTCCCATCTAACTATCATTTTTGAGTACGGAATATTGAACTGAGCTCTAACTTTTTGGATCTTCTTTTTGGATCTTGTTCTCATATGCTGGTAAGTATAACATAAGTCCTGCTACATGATATGACCACCGGATATCCGTTGAAATATTAACAAGCTGATATGTATATACAGTTCATACCTATGATCTATGACATTCCATAGACTCACATGTGCATCCGAGGTCCAGAGTCCTGATCTCAATCTCAAAACTCAGGCAAAGGCTGCACCCCAAAAATACTCCCATCAGGAAGCCACCCATCCAACTCCATGCCCGCCCTGGCCATATGCTGCCCAGCAGCACCAGCCGGCATCCTCTGCGGCTCATATGAAAACTGAGGCGGCAATGCCTGCGGATGTGACACCGAAGGCTGATACCCCGCCGCGCTCATGGAGTAGAAATGCGGGTTATGTCCGCTGTTCATGGCCCATATGCCCGTACCACCCATCGCTACGTACCCATCGCGCATGCTGTCCATTGCCGGCTGCATTGGGGGCATGGGAACGGAGAATGAGTCCATCGCTGATGTGACTTGACCCAAGTGTGCGTCTTGGGTTTGGCTTTGGGTTTGGCTAGGGTGTGATACTGGACCCGATATCGATTCCGCAGTGCCGGTCGACGGACTCACCGATACGACCCGGGACCCAGCTTCCATCGCTCCACCATACCGCCTCTCCAACCGCTCATACCAATCGCGACCCTTGACTCCTACGACATGGTACCATCGACTGGGGATATTGTATTTACCCCCGCCACTGGCCTCACCTAGCTTGCTGGCTAAGGCGTCGAGGTAGAAGGCCACGTTCACGGTCTGTGGCGTGATGACTTCCCCAAGAACACCGGTTCGCACGGAGAAGTGGATCTTCAGCAAGGATGTCACGGCCATCGCGAAACGGGTGTACATGAGATTCGGGAGTTTACGCATGGTGTCCGTGCTGCAGGTCAGCACGGCGTCTAACAGCTTCTGTGCGGCGTTCATCCATTTCATGTTGATGTCGATGCGGATTGCGCTGAGTGTGGTGTCTGGTGGTTCGCTGCCGCTGTTGCTTTCTTCGTCGAGGGTCGGAAGCGTGAAATATCGTCGCTTTAGCGAGTCTGGGTCACGGTAGCCTTCTCCTACGCCGAGTTCGTACATCGCTAGTACTGTGGAGCGATATTCGAGGATCATGGGGACTGGTTGGATTGAGTCGGTTAGTATTGATTTTTGGACTCATGTTGACACAAGGCGAAAGCTATGGCGTTTCTTACCGGTGAACATTTCAGATGGGATGTTCTTCTTCCACGTTTCGATCCGCTTGTCAAACCAGCGCAGCACGGCTTGGACCCGCGACTCGGTTAGGGGCGAGGTGGTACTAGTGTCGTCCAGACCGAACGAAGACATTGCTTCATCGGTTATTCGTTGGAGTTCGAACCACATCGCCACATGTTGATCCGTTCGATGCGGCGAGTTTTCTAGGTGTTTGAGGCACTCGCTCATCCAGTCATTGAACTGAAGCAGATTTGGGCGTCGGGTTTTCATCGCAACACTCGAACCGAGATGGTAGCAGCCGAGGACTGCTCTCGCCTGCTCAGCCAATAGCTCGTCGTGCGGCTCCTGCTTGCCGCTCTTGCGATCGGACTTTTTCGAGACACGACGCTTATTGGCTAACCCAATTTCTAGCGCCATTGTCGAAGCGATGTGTGTGTACTGATAAAGCTGCAGCTTCAATGGCGAGGCGGGCGGGAGATAAAATATAATCATCAGCAGCAGCGCTTGCACTAACTCTAGTGACTTTTCGCCTTCGATGAAGAACCGCTCTGCATAGAGGCGGACCATCTCGCGATTCAGCACGGCAGCCAGGCCTGCATCGACGGATATGGATGTCGCGGCAATCACGGAGAGAAAGAGGATTGGCTTTGTTTTTCGCAGTTGAGCTGCCGTGGTGTTCGAAGGCAAGACGACCAGTGGAAATAAGAATGCCAGTTCCTGAATAAAATATGCCACCAATTGCTCCGCATATTCGAGGGAGATAATGCCCCGATCGATCACGTCGTCCGGAGAAAGCCTCTCCTGCTCCAGCTCAAGGCCAGCTGGCATACCTGCGAAAGTTGGCGGCGCCGAAAAGCCACTATCATGCGCGCCGGGGTGCGGGGTATTTAGCAGTTCAGGGGAATAGTCCATATAACGGACATCCTCGGACGAATGAGCCGAATGGTCCCGCAAGGCGAGGTTGCTTTCCATATCGGCCGATTCAAGATCGACATCGTCCACGTCGCTGTCATCACCGGAATCCGGATCTTCTTCTTCGGGAATACGATTTTTCAACAGCGAACGCATCATCCGCATCTCCTTCTCGAGCTGGGCGACACGCGAATCCGTCCGCTTCCGGGGTCGCCGCCTCTGTGGCGCCACGAAGACGCAGGATCGCTTGCCTTTGGCGCATCGCTGGCATTGATTAGGCGTGGATGGGCTGGGGAGACAGCGGACTTTGAGACTTCGGCATGACTCGCAAGATCTATTTAACTGCTGGGCTGATCCTTGAAGGGTGCTTGATTCGCCTTGGGATGTAGAGGAGGTCCCTGACATATTCACATACACACACGCCAGAAACAATCAGGGAAGAGGTTCCCATAAATTATGCCTCAATGATTCGTCCGAGTAACGATGGTTACTGTGTATTTCGAGTCATTGTACCGAGTGAAAATCGTGCAATGAGGGAACATAAAAGTCGGATTAACGAAAAAGTACCCGATAGATTTCGATGCTAGATCCCACAAGAGTATGTATGGGGAAACTTTGGAATTATCATGTGAAAATTAGAAAATCATTGGAAGCTTAAAGCAAAAAAAAAAGATGCAAAAAACACTCAGGGACTAGAACTGGAGAAGTGGAGAGCGTAAGAATCCTATAAAATACATAGAGTACTGGAATTTAGGAGTCCTTTTTAGTCTTTACGCCCTTGCTGCTTTTTGGCCCGGAAAATCTGGGTTTTTTATATGGCCTGATTTATGAGGCATAAAGTGGTTACCTATCTTGGTAACCCGGATTTGCTCCACACGGTCTTTATTCAAGCCATACGTAGATGAGCCAATTATAATGCGAGGAAGTACTCTGGTTCAGACTCCAGTTTTCCGGTTAGGCTTTTACAATGAAAAACTTAAAGAGGCCTAATACCGTACCTTGCCATTTGAGCACTATGTCTCAGTATGCCTGTTCCTTTACATGGATATTCTTACCTTAACTAATCCCAAGTAGGATAATTGGCCTGAGGAGGATGAAAGAACTCGCGAACTAGCATGGAAATACGAAAAGGTATCGCTTATTGCGCGCCATGTCTGGGTCACCCGCTTATTTCTTCTACTTTTGACTAACTTGTGGTTAGAGCTATTATTATTCCCAAGCAGTTCTTGCCCGGATAAGCTCGGCTGAATTAACAAAGGAGCAAATCCAAAATCTTAGCATTCACTAGTCAATCCATGAGCGGAACGTCATTGCTACGAGGATTCGAACGAGAAATATGAGGACTTGGGGGCTGATGCCGAGATCACTCGTGATCGATACCTCGAGGAGAATACCCGCTACGCCTTTGACAACGGAAGCCCGGATCACTAGCGATAAGGTCTCCTCCAATTGCCAGATATTACGGATTTAATGGGTATCGTTAGCGATAGATACATTCTCTAAAACCCATCGGGATAGGATGAGCTGTAGGTCTGATGTGAGCAGCTAGAAGAGGAGGAATATAGCACTCTGGCTCTCAAATAACTAGAGAGCCAGGCTGTGATATACCTACTAGATTGCGAGGCTGTCGAAAATTAATCCTAGTATTACCTATGACGGTCCTACGTATATCAATTGAGTTAGACCTATATCATATCTGAGTACTATCACCCTTCCCTTAGCTAGTTTGAATGTTGAGAACATTCATTTTATGGCCATATTGTGCCCAACGTTGAAAGTATATTTTGTGTGTGCAAGCTATACAAAAGATACCTAAGTTCAATATTGCTTTTTTTTAGGGGTGTTTACTGGGCACCAATGTGTCGGGCGCTTGGCACGATTCTCCAGGTGGGACCTCGGCCCGGGGGCATCTCTAGGGATCTCTAGGGCTCCAGGGCTGGAATGATCGCTAGCACATGAACCTCATAAAGCGGCACCAGATGAGGAAAATCTAAAATCCGGTACAGGTACATACATGGGGTAATATTAAAGTGATCTACTTAATATCATTCAGGCACCAGCGCGTCCTCGGAGATACCAAATTACACTTATAAATGAAAACAGTGATGAAGATTGAAAGCATAAAGCTAAACATGGCGAATCATTATATCACTTCATCTCCACTGAAAAGCCTTGATTCTGAGTCCGTTAGTATTGGCAGTACATTGACAGTCCATTGGCCCATCGAAAGTGCCCGACGGCTACGACCGATTACCCAATCGGTTCATGCGCCCTTTATTTTCGCTATAGCTTCCTATTTGTGGGATACTTGAGGGAAATAAATATGAGCTCATACGTTTGGGGCACAAATATAGTTTATCTGTGACTTTTTAGGTATATAAGGGTGTTCATCAAAAATGATAGAAAAGTGTGCCCGGCCAATTCCCCGAATACCCCGGTTATTTCGGCGAAATAACACCGTGAGCTAAATCTACTGGGGTGTTATATAATTTGATCGGGATAGCTCAATATTGTCCTCACCAAAGAGTAGAAAATAGCTGTTGAATGCCCTACATAGTATATCTCCATATCTGAATATTACAAATTTTGTCCACTCCATGGCATTATTGACGTGCAAACACTTGACACTACCATAACCCAAGCAGACAACACCTATAAGCATGTGACAGTGGACTCGACTAGTCTCCCTTGAGGCAAGTTGATTTTCTCGGTATGCCGGACAAGTGGACCTATGGAACATTCGAGCAGTGTTGTTTAACATGTGCTGGATGTAGATCTGAAGCTGTAGGATGTAATTTCGAAGACCAATCAGTTGTATCCACATATTAATGTTGTTCCATTGAGGAAACTTATGCGGTTCCTCTACTTGTTAAAAAAAAATCGCGAACTAATTTGATCGCTCGTATATACTCCGTACTCCGTATCCAGTGATCCACCAGTGTCCCGACAAGCGTTTTAGCGCAGATTCCTAACGGCGATGTCCGTTATGAAATACACGGACACATCACATCTATGGGAACACCATTAGCGCTGCTCTTGTGACCAGCCCGCCTCTTTCCGCTGAAATTATCCAGTATTACATTCTTCTAGAGTTTGTGAAGGTGAATATTTGTTTTATTGTGCCCTTATAACCTAGAAAACAACATGCTGTCACTCTTCAGCCAGTAGGGAATTTATAGATAATACCGAGATCATTCGCATTATCCGAGGTGAGGCCATAGAGAGTACAGAAATGTCGCCATTCGGTGCCGCTTTTTCTATAGCGCTCAGTGACCACCATAGCATCGGATCGCACATCGCCGTGGATGATATCCTTGTTTAGTCTGCGGATTTCCTTCTTCTGGGATTCTGTGTCTTTGTTAGGCGCATCTCGCACCTATGTGGAAATGGCCCTTTGCCGGAGATCCAGATGGCTCTGGCCATGAGATTCGAGTTTCTTGATAAGCCGAAGCCGCCTTCGTTAACGGCTATTCTCTGCCCAGCATCGTATTGCAGCGACGGCGCCTCTCTGACCATTTTGGTCACACTCCAGAAGTACCTCCTGTTGAACTTGAAACAGCAGTGACAAGAAGGGAAGGAGAGAGAGAGTTTTATTCCATATTAGGAAAGGAGACGAAGCTCCTAAACTGTCTATGTAGTCATTACATCAACTAGTTAGTTAACGTATTTCACATGCGAGCCGCCACCACAAGCGAGCCGCCATCTCCAAAACACATAGTAAATGCGATAGATTACAACTTGATATCTCAACAACGGTGGTCTATACTGGCGTTTCCTATTAATTTCACAGTTTTTATATGATATATAGCTACTTTAGGGAGTTTTAAAGAATTTGATCTTCTAGTAACTGACATTTATATATTTCTGGAGCCCAGCGACGTAATTTTCAATACGGCAACAATGTAAGCGTTCGATTTCGTTAAATTTGCTATATGTTACTGAAAATGCTTATCAATACCTATCTACCTATAGCGGGAATTAAACTAAGTTGTTGTGGTTGAAACATGAAGCTATAATTTGGCGCATTTACTATGTGTTGGAGATGGCGGCTCGCTTGTGGTGGCGGCTCGCATGTGAAATACGTTAACTAGTTAACGTATTCGGTAAGCGAGCTGGCCATGTAAGCCAGCTGGCCACCTCACCCAAAATTGTCCGTTAATTAGCACTTCATTAATTCAACCACCCACCATGCCACCAATTCGCTCTCAAAGCTCTCGAAATTCAATAGAGCAAGAGGGTAGGATATTATTAGCTATTCAGGCTTTTCAAAAGCAAGAAATCTCATCAATTCGTGAAGCGGCTCGCCTATTTAACGTACCCCGTTCCACCCTTACTACGCGCCTCAATGGTGTCAGAAATCGCGCGAATTCTCGCGTAAATTCGCAGAAATTGACACAAACCGAGGAGGAAACTCTTCAAAAATGGATTCTTTCTATGGACTCTCGTGGATCTGCCCCCCGGCCTTCTACTGTACGAGAAATGGCGAATCTTTTACTTCAACAACGCGGAACCACCCCGGTTATTTCGGTCGGCGAAAAATGGGTTTATAACTTTGTGAAACGACACCCTCTCCTCTCCTCCCGATTCTCGAGACGCTATAATTACGAACGTGCGAAGTGCGAAGACCCGAAGATCATTCAAGAGTGGTTTACACTTGTTCAAAATACCATCCTTCAATTTGGAATCGACCCCGATGACGTTTATAACTTTGATGAGACTGGTTTCGCAATGGGGCTAATCGCTACTGCGAAGGTGATAACAAGGAGCGAATTCTACGGTCGACGCTCGCTTTTACAACCTGGAAATCGCGAATGGGTGACTGCTATTGAGTGTACAAATTCGTCGGGTTGGGCCCTCCCTCCGTGTATCATTTTTAAAGGCAAAGTCTTTATTGAATCATGGTTTGATGGCCTTCCGGATGACTGGCGATTTGAAGTTAGTCCGAACGGTTGGACCTCTGATGAAATTGGACTTCGTTGGCTTGAAAAGCTCTTTATTCCTAGCACTTCTTCGCGTACGAAGGGGGGTATCGTCTCCTAATACTCGACGGATATGGAAGCCATTTGACCCCTAAATTCGATGAAATTTGCGAGCAAAATAAGGTTATACCAATTTGTATGCCTCCGCACTCCTCTCATCTTTTACAACCCCTGGATATCGGTTGTTTTGCTGTGTTAAAGCGATCATATGGTCGGCTGGTTGAAATGAAAATGCGGAACGGGATCAACCATATCGATAAACTTGACTTCCTCGATGCATACCCCCTCGCACGAATTGAAGCTTTTAAATCGGAGACTATTAAAAATAGCTTCGGAGCAGCTGGTTTAGTACCTTTTGCACCTGATCGAGTGATCTCGAAGCTGAATATTCATCTTCGAACCCCAACCCCCCTCCAAGCCGGGGTAGCGAATCAAGCCGGAATTTCACACCAAAAACACCAGCTACAGAGAAAGAACTACGTCGACAGGCTTCCTCAATCAAAGCTTTACTTCGTATAAGATCTCGAAGTCCTCCAAGCCCGTCAGATCGTGCATTAGACCAACTTATGAAAGGCTTCCGTCTCACAATGCAAGGTGCTATACTACTCGCTAAAGAAAATAAGGAATTACGCGCTGAAAACGAGAAGAAGAAGCAAAAGCGGACCCGATCTTCAAGGCATATAGATCACGAAGGAGATCTTTCAGTTCAGGAGGTTCGTGAGCTACGTTCAGAGCCATTTGAGGCCCAAGTAGCGCGTATCAATACCTATCGTGAGCGGGTTTCGGAGGGTTTACAGCCAGCTACACGGGCCGGGCGAGCGTGTGGAATATGCAGATTACCGGGACATAGAAGAGAAACCTGTCCAGATAGATAAATCAATTTAATTGAATTAATTTAATGGTGTTTTGGTTGAGATAAATCAAGTTGAATTTAATGGGCTGGGTGAGGTGGCCAGCTGGCTTACATGGCCAGCTCGCTTACCGAATACGTTACCCAAGGGTTGGAGCCTGGGGCACCACTTATGGCCTAAGGCACTCACATCCAACACTTCCATTTACAAGACCGATCGAACTTCCGACTCGTCTAAGTGACAACTGGAGGGACCACCCATACTTCCATTGCTTGTAGTCATTGAATTCCATTATACTACCAGCAAACATTATATACGACGTCGTGGAAAGGACCAGTTCAACTCTTCCCGGTCGCACAGCGGGTGTTGGAAAAGAAACCCGATCTACTCATAGTCGACCCCGGGAGTCAACACTAGAAGTTGAAGAAATCGAAACAATTTTTCCAAGGCAAAGTCGGTTTTCAATACCTTCTTGCTATGGTCGCGAGCGGGAAGACCCGCCGGTCAGATTTGAAGCTCGGGTTCGGGATTTCTTCAGGGGCGGGCGACCAGTGCACAGCAAAAAGGCTTACTTCTTGCGCACTCTTGCATGATTGGCCAACTTCAAACGGTGCATAATCTCGGCGCCTTAGGTTTCGAAATGAGCCACGATTCGCTGCTGTTGATCAGTCGAGTCTGAGGAGGATCCACGCTCCATCCTCTAATACGCAGATGACGGGTCTTTTGCATTGCTGCAACGTATAACAACAGCATTGGAGATCATTACCGGAGACAGTGGGGTTTCGCCCGGATCTACTTACCCGAAGACTTTGACGCAGAGCCAGTGTGCTTAATGAAGCATGATTTAAACTGAAGCTCGACCGAAGTAGCTGGCGAAGGTGAGAGCGAACCATGCTCAACCTTATACCCATCAACTATGCGGGCCGGATAGCGGTCAACCAACTGAAGTGATGCTATAGGAGAGGCCGCGTATGCTTCAATCATTTCCCGAGCGCCACTTTATATTCATAGCAGCAAACCTGCCCCTGGAGTCTCGGGTTGGGGGACGCCAACGGATATAGCATTAAGGGGGTGCGCGTCCTGGTCAGCCACGGAGAATATCAGTGTGGAATTTGCGTTCTTCACATACAATTTTGCCAAGATTGCCCACGCGACTCAAGACAAGCTCATTTCCATGTGGGGCAAGTTCTGTGGCGGAACAGTGCAGACTCTGCTGATTCGATCCATGGATACGCTCGGTTCGATTGTGATGTTTTTAATGCCGGGTTTTCCATATCTAAAGAGCTGACGACTTCCAGAAGAACTAAGCCAATCAGACCTGGGGATATTCGGGAATAATGGTTTAGTCCCGGTGGAAATTGGAAGACTTCTAATGGGGATTATCCATCTACAGGTCAAAACTATTCAAATATTCCCTGACATTCATTTTTGATCCCTTCTCCAATCCCGTCTACGTCCTTCCTTTTTTTTAACCTTATACCCTCTTTTTCTATTTCTTGTTTTGCCTTATTCTCCATACATTCTCTTATCCTACAGTGTCATTACCGTCTCCCGCGTGATCCCCAGACGTCCATTTTGGAAGAGACTACAGCATAGCTCGGATCCGTCACCGCATATTCCAAGACTCGCTATAAATATTGATACCCAGAGCATGAAGTGTCGGAATTTGTGAATATCCAGTACATAATGCGCTCTCCAGTCACCGGAGCCTTGTGGCTCTATGGACTCCTTTTGGCGACTAGGATTTCTGGAGTCTGCGGAGATACAAAACCGAATTTCATGAGCGTGCGAAAGAATGTAACAAAAGAGTATAAAAGTGAACGTGAGATACCGAAGGAGAAATACTTTCGTAAGTGCAATTCTTCCGTCGATCATGATCTACAGCCCCACGGCCTAGTTTATAAGGCCATGAACCATGGGGCTCTTATTGAATCTTAACTGACTCGTGCCAACCCCATAGATGAATCAGAGTATGTCGAGCATCTCCCTCCCTGTCGATAATACCGGAAATAATCAAAACTAACCCACAATACTCAGCTTCGGTCATCATTATGACGGCCGGTATGCTCGCTTATTCTTCCCTCCTAAACCCGATGTGCTAACGCTTCTCAGATACGCCAATGCTAGTCTCCCAGATACGAAAGTCATTCCATATCTCTCGGATCTAATCCAGACATATTTCACAACAATGAACGCAATCGGCGCAGAGACGTGGATCATGCATGGGACTCTCTTAGCCTGGTGGTGGAACCAGAAGGTGGGATTATGGATATCCCGAATTCTAAAGAGAAACAACCCACCTAATCAGTTATGTAGCTCTTCCCGTGGGATGACGATCTAGACGTGCAGATCTCGGAGCCAACGATTCATTTCTTGGCAGAGTACTATAATATGACCGAGCATCATTTTGACCTCCCCAACGTCGACGGTGGCCGTAAATACATGCTCGAGGTCAATCCCAATTATGTCGTCAAATCGGAGAGAGACACTTTGAATAAGATTGATGCCCGCTGGATTGATATGTCGTCCGGTCTTTTCATTGATATCACTGCTGTCCGCAGGGATCAGGCTGCGCGGCTGAATGGTCGTCCGGAAGCGCTAATGTGCAAGGATAAGCATAACTATGATGTGGGTTATCTGCTGGTGCTGTGTGTCTATTCTCGCTAACGGGTAATATAGGAGAGTGACATCTTCCCGCTGCGTGACAGTCTCTTCGAGGGTGTTCCGGTCAAAATCCCATACGCTTATACATATATCCTCGAAGAAGAGTATGGCCCAAGGGCACTCACTCGAACAAGCTTTTATGGGTAAGCCCTAAATTGTTTTATAATAGATGTTAGTTTGGTTGACTAACTCGTTTTAGTTACATCTTCAATGAACGGACCAGGATTTGGGAGTCCGCGACGTGAGTCCTATAGCTATCATATTTCACATGGATTGTTGACTGATTCTCTTTAGGCGTAAATCCAAGCGCTCCCTTTGAAGACGCTCGTGCAGTTACTTATACACATCCCTGTGCTCATTCGTGCCCACATACACGAAGTACGAGTAGACCACCGAGTGCGTTGCTTGCATACATGTTTTTTTTTTTTGCATATATTTGATATTTGAGCTGGACCTGATGATAGAGGCTGTACATATAATACTATCTAAGCATCTATGTATCTATTTATCTATTTATCTCCATGGGTCATGTATGTAATCGGAGCCAACGGAGATACCGGCCTTTGGCCTAAGGGACGGAGACTCCGCCGGAGCCCGAGCCCTAGAGGCTAACTAGACTGGTACTAAGCCCCGAGGTCATAGCGTTTAGAAATCCATGGGTTCAAAGGCTAGAATCGGCCAGTCACATGTCCGCATTCCATGGCCCCATCTTCCCGGCCCCAGTTCTCTTAGAGCTAAGGACTCCATGGAAAAGAACTCTTAGCAATCCTCGGCATCTCTCGCACGTGAGTTCATGAGAAGGGCGACGATTAGACCATACAGACCTTATGCATGTATTAGCTTCTCATTCTGCGTATATCTAGAAGAGTCGTTCTTACCAAGAACCTCAGCGAAGATGAGTATCAGAATCATGCCAACATACAGTTTGGCTGCTGAGCTGTTCCACGAACTCTGGCATCACCAACGATGCCAATAGCAAAACTAAAATCATGAGAAAAAGAATCAAATTATGCCTCGAGGCTCTGTTACGCAACTTACCCAGATGCTAAGCCGGCGAGGCCGACGGAGAGACCCGCACCAAGCTGGATCAAGCCGGTATATAAGAGCAGACTCTGCTTCAGATCATTTGCGATAAGAACGGAAACGACTAAGCCATAGATTCCGATAATACCAGCCATCACAACTGGAACTATGTCTATTAAACGTTTAGATTAGCGCCACATTCTTGAGTAATTAAAAATGACTCATCCTTCACGACAGCCTTGGAAATCCTTTCTACAAACTTTTCCGGAATTCGGAGGTAACATGCTCTTTACAATCAAATCGGGTCGCAAGACAGCCGTCGAGCAAACGCCAACGCCGGCCTTGGCAGTTCCGTAGGCAGCACCGAAGCAAGCAAAGACAATTGCGCAGACGCAGCCTATAGTGCCAAAAAAAAATGGCTAGAGATCTCAAAGTTAGCCACCTAAATCCTGGCGAGCTTAAACGTATAGAGGGGATGACCTTGTCACGTTCGAAGCAGCCAGGAGAAAGGGTAAACTTACCGCATAGACAGGACTAAGAGAAGAATTGGCGAGTATAGATCAAGCAGGACATTAGAAATGCAGAGAAACAGATCGTAATTGAAAGGGATCAGATGAAATGCCCGTCCACGAGCTTTATTTACCACAATTCTGAACCCATTTTGCTAATTGATTTTGGCTATCTAGCCGCTTGAGATGAACAGCTTAATAAACAAATGTTATGCAAGTAACTAAGACCCAAGGGTTGAGTGGTAAAATTGGAGATGGATTTTCCCAAGCCAAGTCTGCCCTTATATAGAAGGCAGGCGCTAGTCCGACCATACCTGCGTTCTAATTCCAATTTCCAAGAATTTAGGCATCTTTTATTTGACACACGCATATTGTAAAAGATACATTTAGAATATTGATGCTCCTTTGTATCTTTTTTATGTACGTATCATATAAATGATACCTAGATTCTGGAAATTGTATACTTTCAAATATATTGTTAGACCCCGTGAACGCGGGTGGGGCTGAGATTACTAACCTTGGAAACTTTGATATGGATATGCCGATGACGATTCTTGTTCTTTGGTCAGTCACTAAAAACAGGCCTCAAAGAATGTGAGAAGACCCGACTTGCTTGTCTCAGCACTATGTCGTTCCCTTCAGCTTCCCCAGAGCTGAATATCTCTCCTGTCAATAATTCTCGGAACTCCTCGCTACCTACGAATTTGACCGCTCCTCGCCACGTGGCTACGGAACCTCCGAGCTCGGCCTCTCGCAGCTGTGTGACCTGCCGCCGCAGGAAAGTCCGGTGCAATAAGAGGTCTCCGTGTTCGAATTGTACCAAATCCGGCATCGACTGTGTCTTTCCCCCTCCTGGCCGTGCCCCGCGGAAATCAAAGCGTCCACCGGACGCGGAGCTGCTTTCGCGGTTGCGTCGATTGGAAGGTGTCATTGATCATCTTAGGGGCAGTGGTAATACAGAGGCTGCATCGGCCTCAACTGGGGCGCCTTCTTCTACAACTGGATCTTCGACCGTTCGGAGCGAACACACTGCGCCCACGTCTGTTTCGACTGAGCCACCGAACCAGGCTGACAGGAGTGTCTGTCCCTTCGAGGAATCGGATCCGAAGAAACTTGCTCCCAATAAGTTTGAGAATGAATTTGGACGGTTGGTCATTGATGAAGGCCGAAGCCGATATGTCAGCAATCGGCTCTGGGCTAGTCTTGGGGACGAGGTAGATATCCCTCGTTTTCTTTTACTATTAATCTTCTTTGTACTGATATGTCTTAGATCGAGGAACTGCAAGATATCCTTGATCATTCATCGTCAGAGGAAGATGATACATCTTCACCGGAGTCTTCTCACTCGAGCTCCCATGACGGTTTCCTTTTTGGATTCTACTCACTTTCAGAGTCTCTTCGAGAGTTTCATCCCCCCATGTTCAAGGTCTCAATACTTTGGGATAAATATCGGGAAAATGTGGCTCCCTTGATCACCATCGTACACAGACCGACTGCCAAAAATCTGTTTGCCGAGGCAGCACGGAACCCAGATACTCTGGACAAAAATTCAGAGGCACTAGTATTTGCCATGTATCTTTGTAGCATTGTCAGCATGAAGCCGGATGAGTGCTTGTCCCAGTTTGGCGAAGACCGACATATTGCCGTCAAGCGGTACAGGTTTGCTACAGAGCAAGCGTTGGCGAAAGCTGGGTTCTTGAATACACAAAGCTTGGTCCTTTTGCAAGCCGCTGTCTTATTCTTGGTCTGCGTCCGACGAGAAGATGATAGCAGGTTTGTGTGGTCTATGACCTCAATCGTATTACGCCTTTCTCAGAGCTTAGGCTTACACCGGGATGGCACAAACTTCGCCCTGAAACCGTTCGAAACGGAGATGCGGCGACGATTATGGTGGCACATCTCGCTGTTGGATGTTCGCTCGTCTGAAGACCATGGGACGGACCCGCTCATTCACGAGAGCATGTATGATACTCGGCTGCCATTAAATGTCAATGACGATGACCTGTCACCCGACATGGAGACACCCCCGGAAGAGCGAGAAGGCTTCACGGATATTACATTCTGCCTCATTCGCTGTGAGATCACGAGCGCTTTGCGAAGAGCAAATTACGTGTGTCCCGGGCCCCAGGTTCGTTTACCTAACAGTCTACCGCCCATAGATCGTGCCGGGCGGATGATTCAAATTATCAGTGATCGATGTGAGCAACGGTATATCAGGCACTGTGATATGAACATCCCCGCGCAGTGGTGCGCCGCCACAGTCGGTCGTCTGATTCTTGCTAAATTGTGGTTGATCCTCCATCACCCAATGACCAGAAAAAACCGCGGAAGTAATGTCACACAAGCAACTCGAGAGAGCTTGTTTCTGACAGCAATTGAAGTCCTCGAGTTTAGCCACTTGCTTGAAGCTAATTCCAAGACCTCCAAATGGGGCTGGCTGTTCCGGACCAATATGCAATGGCACGGAATCGCATTCGTTCTGTCGGAGATATGCGTTCGACCAATTTGCCCTATTACAGATCGAGCTTGGAGCGCTGTCAGTGTGATCTACGCGGAATGGGCCGCGCAGGCCACACATAAGAAGGGCATGCTGTGGCGGCCGCTCGCGGCCTTGATGAAAAGAGCTGCTGCCACCCGATCCAAGCAGAGGCAAGAATTGCTATCCACTTTTGGACCTGTGCCCACCACACCAGAGCGCATTCAAAACACCCGCGATATTCACGCCCTTCCCCGGATCTATATGCCAATAGGGATGCTGAATTCGCCCTCGACAGATCCACCAGGCCCAACAGCACCCATTATATATGATGCAGACCAAAATATTGACCTCAGCAATGGACCATTGGGTGCTGTCCGAAACATGTTCCCTGGCACAAACATCCTAGCTACATCCAACGGTATATTCGATGCTCCACCAGCCCAGAATAATATCCCGGCACCCAGCTTGTCCGCAAGCCTGCCCCACACCTCAGCCATGAGCAATCCATTCTTGAATCAGACTCCTCTTCCCGATGCCGCCCAGCTCAGCTGGGAAGAATGGGACCAAGTTATGCGTGATTTCCAGATGGATATTGAAAATGACGATTCTCAGCCAAGCAACGCAGCTAATTTTACCGAATGGTTTGCTTAGCCTCTTTATAATGGAGGTTTCTTTTTCCTGGGGCTTTACCTATTAATGATGTGATGATTTATGGCGTTGAATACTGGATGATATCCCCCTCCCCTCACTGTTATTATACTCCTCTTCTCTCTTATGCATTATATCGGCGACGTTGTGTGGCAATACTGTATAACCAACATCAAACATAATGTGAAATTATAAATGCCATTTCAATCCATCTGTCAATGATTCTACCCTCAAACCATTCAACAAATAGAATATTCTTTATCACTTAATTGTATACTTCCAAATCCGGATCTACACCACCACGTGACCACAGTGATAACAAGCTCCAAGCTGGCATCAACCACCAACCCTCCACTCCGCCATTGTCCTCCAATCCACCGTCCTCGCGCCAATTTTCCAGGGATATCTCGATCCGTGCTATCTATAATACATCCAGTACCAATTACACATACCCAAACATCACCGATCCCCCAAATCCCAAAATCATGGCTCCCAAGCGCCACGCGGCCTCAACTACCTCCGCGGCACCCTCCACTCCTACGCCCGCACTCACAACACCAAAACTCTCCTCAGGCCCAGATACCCTCAAGCCCAATGCCTCAGTCGCTGAAATCGCTGGCCATGTCTGGCAGCAGTATGCATCCACAACACCGCAGCGGACACTCCTCCTAGATGCCTTCATGGCGTTCTTGGTTCTTGTTGGTGGACTGCAGTTCGTGTACTGTGTTCTAGCTGGAAACTACGTAAGTTGAAGCTCTGTCTGGCAAATGCTGTTTCGGTTCTTTTGTTCTTCTCCCTCTATTTCCCTGTTCTGGTCTTGTCTATACGGAGCGTGTGACTTGCAATTGGAAATCTATAGACCAAAGACTAACAATTTCCCTCCCATATAGCCCTTCAATGCCTTCCTCAGTGGCTTCGGTGCTGCTGTTGGTCAATTTGTTCTTACGGCGAGTCTGCGCATGCAAACTAGCGATAGCGGTACTGGTTCTGGATCGAAGCCGAGCTCTAAGGGGAAGAATGCGCGCTTTGCAGATGAGAGTGAAGATCAGGGGACTGGTATTTCACATGAGAGGTGAGTTTCTTGTCTTCTTCTTGTGATGTTCAACTTCATGATTGTTTTCCCCGGGGCTATGGGTACATATGCTGATCTCTAACTCTAGGGCCTTTGCCGATTACATCTTCGGAAGCTTGATCCTACACTTTTTCTGCGTCAACTTTATCAACTGAGCTGTGCTCGGCCGTCAAAGCCTCCATTCAATAACATGCTCCATCATCCTGTTTTCTGTCTGGGGTTGGTTCGTTTCGATCTCCGGATGGGGTGGGAATGCTGTCTCTTAGATATCCTTACGCGTTGGAACTTTTTTAGCCAATCCTTGTTCTGGTCCTCTACGCTTCGTATTTGATCGAGGTGAGAGATGTTGTTCATATCTGACCTATCTACTTACACAAGATTCACTTGTTGGACAAGAATATGCGATTCATATCACCCTAGTTCGGAGATAGCCCCGGTGTAGAGCAGACCATACTCAGAGATGAGATGGATGAGAACGCAATGGCGGGTATCTATTGAGCAAGATCCGTCTATGTAGATGGATTTAAAAGACGAAATGATGTTGTACAAACAGGGCACTCAAGTCCCCAATGGAGTTATGTTGCACCGCAAGACTAGAATGCACGTCCTCTCCGAGGCACCGTAGGCCTCTTAACCACACTGCTTCCAGCACCACTTCCACCGCCACTGGCTCCAGGCCGCGAGGAAGAAGAAGAAGACGAAGCAGTCAAACCGCCGACCTTGCGCCCTGGCTTGACAATAGGTTTACGCACGGCGGACTTTCCACCAACCTCGATCTCCGTTTTGCGGCGGACGGGGTTGCTGCGTTCCTGCTCGCGCAATTTATCAGCAGCATCGCGTTCACGATCAGCTGCCATCTGCTCTTCGATTTCCATGCGCTTATTAAACTCGATCTCGGTCACGCGGCGGTCGCGCTGCGAGTAGCCTTTTTCTTTGACAGAGTAGTATACACCACCGAGTTCGGCGAGCCACTAATAGAAATGAGTTAGTTGAGTACTAGATAGCATACAGGGGGAAATAGGGGAGTGGTAACTGACGTGGGGATCAACAGCTGTCACAACGGACATGTATTCCTTGGAAGTCAGCATCAACTCGTGGTAGACGACGAACTCGGGTACATAACCGAGACCGAAAAGGGCACTTGTGGGATGGAGCGCCATGGTCACGCTGGTGCGGAGGTTGATGTACTCGCCCATGCCCTTTTGTCGTGCGGCTTGGTGGTAGTAGCCCGAACATATGCACTTGCGGATGGTATCCCAGTCTGTGCCGCAACTGATAACGGGCATCTTTTGTTTATTCATAATGTCGAGAAGTTGATCGCGGACTTCCTGGGCGCGGCGGAGGGTTCTTGCGTTCAAGAAGTGCTTGGTACACCAGGCATCGGAAAAACCGTTGGTTTTCCATTGGATATAAACATTGAGAAGGGTCAAGTGGTCGGATTCTGGAACGACGAATTTCTCGCGAGCTGAATCGGCTTCCTCTTGTCGCTCTTTGGGACGATAAAAGACCATTGCAACCGAAAGCATTGCAACGATGGTTGTCATCTCCTCGCTGCACTCATATTCGTCGGAGGCCATTATTATGAGCTTGGCAAGAGGGGGATCCATGGGAAAGGGTGTCATGCGACGTCCTAGAGATGTAAGACCGCCCAGGTTATCTAGAGCACCCAGAGACCAGAGCTCGAAAAGAGAGGTTGTGATTGTCTCCTGTGGGGGAGGATCCATGAAGTCAAAATCCAAAAGGTCCTTCACGTTAAGGGATTTCAGTAAAAGAATAGTGTTTGAAAGACTGGTTCGCTGAATCTCAGGAATCGTTTGGATGTAAAGCTCATTCTTGTAGGCTGTCTCCGTGTATAGACGATAGGCTTTGCCTGGCCCAGTCCGTCCAGCACGCCCAGATCGCTGGTTTGCATTGGCCTGAGAAATTGGGGTTACCTGGAGAGAATCCATACCCACGCGCGGTTGGTACACTTTCAGCTTTGAGTATCCTGCATCCACAACGAACATGATACCATCGACCGTCAGACTTGTTTCGGCAATGTTCGTAGCCACGATTACTTTGCGCACGCCCGGAGCGGCCTTCTCGAAGATCTTTGCCTGTTGCTCGGCCGGCAATGAACTGTAGATGGGTAAGACGCTGAGTTTCGGCGGATCATTCAGCTGCTTCAGCCGTTCTTCGACCAGCTCGCAGGTTGCCTCAATATCTTCTTGTCCAGTCATGAAGACAAGAATATCACCAGCGCCCTGGGATACATGAATAGCCAAAATCTGCTTGACCGCGCTATCAACGTAATCCTCACAAGGTGTGCGCGAGTAGTGAAGATCAACAGGGAATGTTCTGCCAGGAATGACAAATTCTGCGGCACCGCCAAAGAAGCGCGCAAATCGGTCGGAGTTCATTGTTGCTGATGTCACGATCAATTTCAGATCCCTGCGCCGGGCCAGAACTTTTATGAGAAGACCCATCAAGACGTCAGTGTTTAGAGATCGTTCGTGTGCCTCGTCCATGATGATGCATGAGTATTTGTCGAGATCATTTTGAGTGAGACATTCTCGCAGTAATACACCATCCGTCATGTCTAGTATATAGATTAGCTATATGATCGCACCAAATCAGAAAGGTAAAAAACTCACATTTGATCACCGTCTCATCACTCGTACAATCTTCGAAACGGATAGCATATCCGACGAGTCCACCGAGTTCAACATCCATCTCCTCACTGACACGCTTCGCAACACTCATGGCGGCCACACGACGAGGCTGCGTGCATCCGATCATACCGAACTTAGAGTAGCCCTCTTCGTGTAAGAATTGAGTTAATTGAGTGGTCTTGCCAGATCCAGTCTCTCCGACGACAACCACAACTTGGTTATCACGGATGACTCTCATTAGATCTTCGCGCACCGCAAAGGCGGGCAGATATTCTCTCTGTTCACGCATGGTCTTATTGCTGCTGAAAGCGCTGGAGCCACCGCCTTTCTTCATATGTTTGGCAAATTTGTTTCCTCCTCCTTTGTAGGTCTCCTCGACAGGCATAGCGACTGCGCTATCTCCATCGTCATCTTTGACGCCCATGAAGTTCCCGAGGGCTGTGCCGGCCATATTTGTCGCCTCCTGTGCTTGCTTTTGTCGTTCACGCTGCTGTCGGCGCTCATTAACGACCCTGCTTCCTTTCCGACTGAATACCGCCATGTCACTCTGCGGATCCCGAACAGCGGATATTGGATCCAGCTGCTTCGTGAAGATCGTGCGGCCATCGAGGAAAGGCGGCCGGAGGTCGTGGACGAGCAAATGCACTCGAGTCGCCTCTTCATCTTCGGGCATGAAGTCGCCCTCGTGATCTCTTCGTTGTGCTACACCGGAGGTGAGCATTCGATTGGTCTCCCAGTTGTCAATGTCTCTCCGTTTTGCGTCGCGTAGGCCTGGAGGGAGATGTCCAAAGCCCTTATGCTTTTTGGCCGGAGGGCCCATATCGTTGCGAGACATGTCGTTCGGCCGGGCTTAAAAGCCTAGTTTCAGACTTGGGTTATTCGCAATGTACGACCCGGTCTAGTCTGCGTGAGGTTGAGTTTATCAAGACGAGAGTCCCGCCCAAGGCGAACCTCTTTCCTATCTACTGGCTAGCGCGACCTTACCGCCCTTTATTGCCAGAAGAAAGCCACCGCTCTGGCAGTCAGTTTCTACCCAAATAGTCTTCCAAGACAATATTAGCAGGACTTAGCTTCTATTTCTCAAGTAGCTAGCTTCTTGGAAGCCTTGCCAACCCAAAGCAATCTTGCCTTTAGATTGTAGAGTAGAGTGGTGTAGTCAAGTTGATCACCGCTCACTATCGTAATCAAACATTGCAAACTGCGATATCAGTCACGTGGTTTGTAATTTACTTCATGAAGCGCATGTAATTTGTAGTATGGAGCTAAATCAACAATTAATTCGAATATCCTGGAATTGATTTGAGAATTTATGTAGAAATAAGTGGGATTCAGAGCTAAATTCACTTATGTATGGGGTGTAAGGTGCATCAAAAGTTCTATAGTAGTGGCCTCCGCCAGCGCCAAAAAGCAATCGCCCCGCATCGTCATCTCAATTTCTCGAGCTTCCTCGTGCCGACCATACCGTGTCAAACAGCCATCATGTCTAGCCAGAAACAGATTGACCCCAAGAGGCAGCAAGGTACGCTTATCCTATTGTCCCTACAACCCCTAAGAATTCACGAAAGCTGATGCAAACCCCTCGATCCAGAGCTTCAGTACCAATACACCAACTTCAAGAACACCCTCCAGCAATTAGCACAAAAGATTGGTGATATTGAGCAGGAGGCAGAAGAGCACAAGTGAGTCACCACCAGGGGTACGCGCTGTCCCAGCATAGTGGGATCTTGTTGGGGTTGAATCGGGGGCTACGACACGAGCACAACCAACAACCAGCGATGTCTTAGCGAATATGAATAATGCTAACATATATCTTTTTTTAGACTTGTGATTGAAACCCTCGACCCTCTCGCTGCAGACCGCAAATGTTTCCGCATGGTGAATGGCGTCTTAGTTGAGCGCACTGTCCAAGATGTTCTTCCTACACTCAAGACCAACTCGGATGGGTTGAAGCAAGTATTGGAGGACATGCTCAAGCAGTATAAGTCAAAGCAGAGTGAACTAGATACCTGGAAGGTAAGCGCATTTCCTGTTTCATGGCTATTCCTCGGCCTGAAACCGTATGGGGACTTGATACGGGCAGTGCTGACCTTAATCTCCCCTTTGCAGAAGAAGAACAACATCCAGGTTGTGCAGCCTTAGTGGCATTCCTTTTCTCTGTATACTTTCAATTTACGTGTTCCCGGGTGCTATCTGAGTGCAAGCGCACCGGCGTTACTGGGAACGGAAAAAGACTAGACATAATGCAGCGTTGATTTGTGCTTTGGTGTCAAACTTGCAAGATGAGCTCCTTATCATAGTAAAAAAAAATATACCCATAAGTTATGAATCGTGGAAGTCTCAGCTGGGGGTCTCGGACCTCAGTAATGTCATGAGATGGCAAGTTCTTAAGATTGCATATATCAGCCTAAGCTAGGTTGAAGAAAAGCCGTAATGGATGCCTAATTTAAGTCCTCTGTCTGGTCACTTTAAGACTTGTAAAAAATTAGACATGTGTGTATGTACATCGATGTAGGTATTTACGCATACTTGAGGATGCAAGCCATGATGCCTGACTTGGCACCAAATGACCAAGGCATTGTATTATGTTGGGTCATGAAGAACCTAACTTTTGAAGATGGAGGTGCGATGTCAAATGCAATATCAAAAGAAGAGATATGGATCTCTAGGGTCGAATATGTTTTTATACCAGCTTCTATAGATCTGTGACGTTAGTTATAGTCGCACCAACGAGTACGTCATTACGTCGATGGGTACAGTTTTTTTTGGTTTTGATTGATTTAATTGAAATAAAAGTTGAAAGTAAAAAAGTAAATGAATAAAAGGGTATTACTATCTGTTGAAAGCAATATATGTAGGTACTGAATCACATCCTTTAAGGCCTCCAGGGTCCTAGCGGAGAAGGTAAAGGTAGCCTTCTCAATGATTGCCTCATCTTTGTCTTCCAGCTGATTTCAATTAATGTTTTACTCTCCAAAAGTTGACCTTCCATAAGTATTGACGTTGGTGACCAAAGTGACAGGCGCTGGATCTACTACTTCTGGTTCGCCAATTAACCTCCCCAGATCCTCATTCCACCTTAAATTTAGTTCAATCAGAGACGAATCAGAATACAAATATCTACATCTCCTCTAAATCCCGATTTGGTAAGTTGGGCTCTTTCCAATCTGTGACCCACCTTTCCCGAGGTCCGGGCACACTGCGCGTTGCATTTCAGCTTCACTGGTCCAAATTCAGCCCTGACTTTTTTGAGGTGCATATTTGATGGTATAGGTACGTGATCGCGTGCCATACTGAAGTTGAACCCCTGTCTTTAGAGGTACCCCCATACCATTTCCGAGGCAAGAGGCTAATTGGTCCCGTTGCGCGCGTCACAACAGAGCTACTCTGCATTATCACCAACTCCCCTGGGCTGACGCCATATCATAAGGCTGTGAAAGTTCGTACCCAGTTAATACTCTGTCTACTTTTGGCGCCGATTCTGCGCCTGAAAGGCGATCGCGCATGATCTGACGTGGTCTGACAACAGAACACGCGAAACACAAGCATTGACGCCTAAGCCGAGGATCCACCGCGTATTCCAAACCACTCATAACCATGTCGAACTCTCCTTCGAAGGACCCTGAACTTGATCCCGAAGCGCAATCGGGAGAAGAACAAGAGCACATGGACAAGGACCATCACGACGTGCAGGGACATCAGGGCGAGTTCGAGGTGAAGGAGCAAGATCGGTGGCTTCCGATTGCAAATGGTATGTTGCATCTTGCATTTGGTCTTTTGTTCCGATTTGCGCGTACCTTGCCTTTGGAGTGTTTCCCCCTCATTGGTCTAAACTCTACAAAGTTCCCAGTTCTTTTCATCTCAAGTCTATACAAGATATCTTTTCCTGATGCTTTTATCGGTCGCATCGCTCATATATCCCAACTTCTCGTTACCCCTCATTTTGAGATCACGCCAAACAATGTCTCATGTTAACATCTTATTTAGTGGCTCGTATTATGAAGTTGGCCCTGCCTGAAAATGCAAAGATTGCGAAAGAAGCCAAGGAATGCATGCAGGAATGTGTGAGCGAGTTCATCTCATTCATCACAAGTGAAGGTGAGTCTGGTTCTTGCTCCAAGTTACGAGATATATACTAATCAGCCGCTTACGCAGCCTCGGAGAAATGTCAACAGGAGAAGCGCAAGACAGTCAATGGCGAAGACATCCTATTCGCCATGACATCGCTTGGATTTGAGAACTACGCCGAAGCCCTCAAGATCTACCTATCCAAGTATCGCGAGGTAGAGTCACCTGAGCCCCAGAATGAACCCCAGGATTCTTTCCCAGAGTGCCCGGACCAAGCATCGAGAGGTTGTTAGCTCCAGTATACTAACTCGACCCCAGACTCAATCTGCCCGTGGCGAAAACCAAAGGCCTCCCAGCGCTGGCTATGGAGCCGGGGGACCCGTCGGTGGCCCCGGTGGACCTCCAGCTCGTCCCACAGGATTCCCTGATGCCGAAGGTGCAAACCCCATGATGAACCCCAACCTTGACCCATCCGAGCAAGACGCCTCCGCCTACGGCTATCCCTCCATGGTCGGTCAGCCTCACAACGGTGCGGGCGGCGAGTCATACTAAGGTACGATGTGAAGGAGTTGGCGGAGGGATACCCGATTTCGATACAGGACGCATGTCCTCAATACCACTGACTTGGCAGATCCAATCAAAGCGTATATAAAGGCATCTTCTGCTTCTTTCTTTGGTGTTCATCTGCAACGGTCTCTCGGCTGATCGATGTGCTCGCGGGAGTATCTAGAGGGGTTTAACGGCATGGCTTTTTTTCGTTTGTTTTCGGCAGATTAGGACTTTCATCGGGGTTTTTACTTTTGATTTCGGAGTTTCGTGGCGAATTATAGGAATAAGGACATCTGTATCTACGACAGTGTGAGGTGCAGGACTAAGACTGAGTCTACAATCTGTTCATTCCAATGTTGGAGTAAATGCAATATTCTGCCCTACGTGTTTTTATTTTGTAAGATCTTGATATTCTCGTATTCAGCCAAGGTGCAAATGCAGAGGCGCCTGAGACCGAAGTTCAGCGGGGCTCCATAGCTGTTCCACCTCGCGGGGCATCAGAGAGCGCTCCTTCAATTCAATTCACCCAGCATATTCAAGGCTCTGTCCATTTAACAACCTGGTATACTTATTTTCCACCTGCACAAATTATCTTGCATCGTGAGATTTTGATAGAATCAGCTTTCAACCTTGGAACCTCAAGATTCTTGAATTATTACGTCATTGGAGAAGCTGAGAATCACCTCACACATTCAAGATGAGCAGCAACAGGATCCTTCGCGTTGGAATAATTGGGTAAGAAGCCATTGCCAAAGATCTCTGTACAATGATACTAATATTTCACCCAGTTGCGGCGAAATAACCCAAGTTGCCCATATTCCAACTCTTGGGTTCCTCTCAGATTACTTCCAGGTCACCTACCTCTGTGATGTCTCCGACAATGCGCTGGAGCACTGTGCCAAAAAGGTTATCGGGGGCACCCCCAAGACAACCCGCAAAGCAGAGGAGCTCTGCGCCTCACCGGACGTGGACATCGTCATGATAGCCAACAGCGACGCTTTCCACGTCCCGCACGCGCTACTGGGCCTAAAACACGACAAAGTCGTCTTCATCGAGAAACCCATGGCTCTGTCTCTACAAGACGCGGACCAGCTCATCGAGCTCGAGAAGCAAACATCCGGAAAGGTGATGGTGGGATATATGCGGCGGTATGCGAGTGGGTTCATCGACGCCGTCAAGGAAATAGGGAGCTTTGATCAAGTGTGCTATGCGCGCGTGCGAGATATCGTCGGCCCGAACTCTGATTTTGTTGGTCAGTCCGGCACGTTTCCTAAGGTTTTCTCTGATTATAGAGCGGAGGATTCGAAGGAATTGTCGAGTAGGACGAATGAGTTCCTTGAACAGGCTTTGACGAGGGAATTGGGAATTCCGGTTACGTCTGATACTGCTGCTCAGTGGAGGAATTTGGGAAGTCTTGGGTCGCATGATCTTAGTGCGATGAGAGAGGCTCTTGGTATGCCGACGGCTGTGCTTGGTGCTTCTTTGTGCTCTGCGAATGGACCGCCGTTCTGGAGGTGAGTTGTGAATTCTATCTCTGTGGTTCGTGGCGATATGTTGATTTCTTTTCCTCCAGTGCCCTCTTCCAATATCCTTCTTTTGCTGTGTCTTATGAGTCTGGGATTGATGATGTCCCCCGCTTCGACGCATCGATTGAAGTCTTTGGTGGGAATAAGACTGTCAAAATCTGCTTTGACTCGCCTTATGTTAAGGGCTTGCCTACCACTATGCACATTCGTGAGAAGTTGGAAGATGGCTCATTCCGGGAGTCTGTGGTTCGGAAGACTTATGAGGATGCTTATACTTTGGAAATGAAGGAGCTATATGCATTTGTTGTTGAGGGTAAGCCTGCTAAAACCACCTCAGAGGATGCTAGGAAGGACCTTGAGATCTTCGGTATGATTATGAAGGCAGGTTTAGAAGGACAGGCTAGACTTAACAAGGTTGTTCCAAAGTAGTCATTCTGTGTACATAATTTCATGTAGAAGCATTATCATGGAAGAATATCAGAATTAAATTAAAATCAAAAGATTATCGCCTGGTAGCTTGAGATGAAACGGCACTCAATCTGAGACCAAATGCCCGTTTATCCATGCATACATACTGGGCAGTGCCATTTCTCATATAGAGCGAACATATAAAACTGAGCTCAGAAGTACCTATCCCCATTTATATCCATCATATCCATCGGTACTGTTGGCATTTTATCAGGTGGCTTTCCCCCAATGACCTTCTGGGCCATACTGTGTAGGAATGCTAGGCCACACATCTACGCCGTCTAAAATTGCAAGTCTACAAGTTTGGTTAATATATTTTGTAAATAATATCAAGATACTGGTGACTTACGCCATCCCTCCAGTGAGGTGCGGATCGATGTGACAGTGGAGGAAGAAGGCCTGGCTGGTTAGTGAAAACTAGGGGAGGTTTTATACATGAATTGATATCTTACCCCGGGATTTTGCACTATCAAATACATGTTAGCTTCTTGGTTTTCAAAAAAAAAAAAGGGGAAAGGAGAGGAGAAACTGAGTGGAAGACTTACCATGATAGCGAACTGCCAACCAGCTTGGACCTAGCAAGGCGGGAAGTGTTGTGAAGGTATCTATCTCATCCGTAAGTTCAACACTAGAACAATTACAAGGAAAGCTCAGTGTGTCATACCTCTCATTGGAGGGTCAACCAGGTTAAACATCTCTGGGATTTCCTGTTGAGCCTCTGCGACAGAAGTCCACTTGAACTCGCCCATGCCGGCACCCTAAGCACGCAAATCAGAATCCATACAATAAAGTTTATACTCGTAGGGTGTGTTCAAAGTAACTCACGAGAATATAAACTATGTTTGAGTGCTTGTGAATCGGATGACCAGGTTGGAGAGTCGATGCGTTGCCAAATGCCGCAAAAACGATGTCTACCCAGGTATCGTTTTTCGTAGCTATAACCAGGTCACTGTCTTCGTATGACTGAGGGTCCCATAGCATCGGCTTCTCTGACTCCAGAGAGAGACCATACGAATGGTCCCCATTGAGGGACCATTTCCAAGCTTTTTCAATGCGGCCAATAGTGAGCAGGTATGTTTGATCCGCTTCTTCGCTAGGTCGACTTGGGAAAAGTGGCTTAATCTTATTTTCGTCAAAGACAACAACATCTGTACTCATGCTGTTTCCGCCATAGTTGATTGAGGGTTTGCCCACGACGGAGGGGTCACCGGTGACATAGGAGAGAGTGCCGTATCCGGCAACCTTCTGATTGAGTCCTGCATTAGCTGCTGTAATCAGGTAGTTGCCTGGAGTGTTATTCAACTGAACTAGAACGGAGTAGCGACCGCCGTTACTGAGTGTCAGTGCCTAGCAAAGGATTTTTCGTCAGTGCAATGCTCATAACTTTGCATAGTATAAAGTGAGACGGATAGTATCGTACATCAACCTTCGTGGGTATAATATATCGACCATCGATCTCATATACCCAAAGAGAATGGTTGTTGATAGAGACTGTATTGATTAGCGAACAGGCTTAGCTTGCTCCGCTTGGAATCTAGCAAAGTACAACAATAAGCATACCTGTTGGGATGGAGATCGATGCCGAACCGATGAGATTGAGGCTTATCCAGCCTTTCCGATGATCAACTTTGATCACTTCATCCATAGATTCTGTGGGACTACATTGATCAAACATGGATGGTGGGATTGCGGTGTAGTTATGCTGAGAAAAAGTTGTTTGAGCATAGGTATTTCCAACTGGAAGACATCTTAAGTTGAACTCAGCGTCAGCTCTCTGATCAGCACTTCGAGAGTTATAACATACCCTTTTGCTGTGTAGTTCATGCCCTGGAGCAGGGGGACCAATGGGGCAGGAGTCAACGATGTCAAATAGGCAGAGTCGACGCAGCGCACTCTACCTTTGCCATTGATCAAGATAGAATCCACACATCTAGAATTGTTATGAGCCCATTTTCTCACAATGCCTCTGTAAAACTTACAATGTATCAAGGTTTGCAGAAACTGCAATATCCCGGAGCTCTTCCGATGTATTGTGAAACCAATCGGAAATCATCAGCAATTTGGGGTCGCGGATGGCATTGTTGATTTCAAAATGTGCCCGTGTGTCATTTGATACCATACTAGCCAGGTTTGCGGCAATGTCTCGTGGTCTGGGTCATAAGTACTCAGTTGCCTGCGCGAATAGGTAGGGTTTCGATGCGGATAGGTATGAGCTAACCTGATATAAATCGGCCCATACAGGCCATCCATTATTTGGCCCGCGCAATGCGAATGATACCTTTAAAATGTAAACAAACTAAAACTCATTACTAGGAAGATCCACTTACCAGTATGTTCCGTATTGCGTAGCAGTGAATTTGGAAACGAATCTTCCGCCAGGGGCAATAAGCCTCTGCGAGACTCCTGGCACGCCATCTGACCATGATGTTCCTTGTTGCCTATTTTTTTTTGTCTTAGTGGTGGGCCAGGTTATTCTTCCCAGAAGACTCACTCAATGCCATGCCAATGCATCGTGGTGTTAAATGGCAGGAAATTGTTCACTGTCACCTCCACATTGTCACCCTCGTCAAAGATGAGCGAGGGCCCAGGGAACTGGCCATTAATCAAGGCTTGTTGACGCTCAACTCCATCGGGTGCCTTAGTGTCCCAAGTTAAGTTGAGCTCGAACTTTTTCGTCGGGCGAGGTGGAACAACATATAAAGCAGCACCAAGTCCGACGAAGCAAAATAAAATAGACGGCTTCATATCTATCGGGTTGGGGACCCTTGACGCTGCACACACATAAAAAGTAATGGTCAGGACCGAAGCTACAAGGAATATCCGGAGTACATTCAAGTGTTAACGACCTATACAAGGGAGGTGTGGAATTTTTAAGTACTACAATATACTTCAGCCGCAGTGCGGTGGATGATGCAGGGGGATGTTCGCAAGTTTAATACGGAGTAGAACAGTTCAGTTAATCCATGATCCTTCGCCTGTGTAAGTATGTACCCGTACATACTACGTATCTCTTCCCGTATTTATTTATGCAGATCACTGCGTTGTCCAGGGGTAATTGGCCAAGAGTGAGAAGCCCGGTAAACCGGGCAGGGCGTTCAGCCTTGGTTGCTCATTTTTGGGAATAGCCTGGGCCCATCATTGTCTCGAGACCCTTAGCTAAGGTCTGGAACTTTCTTTTTGGTTTATACCACATACCAAAGTCTTCGGTTGAGGGAACCTCATCAAGAGTTGAATAAATGCTTCCTTCGCAATTAGAGCAAACAAGGGATACGGTGTACGGAGTATATTGTCACGGATCGATCGAATTATTTCCGAATTATTGAGATCTCGAATCCCAAATCAAACCTTAGCCAGGAGCTGAGTTGGCATCAAGTAGTCCGTGCGGCGTAAAAAGAAAGCGCATCTATTGATTGCTAAACACTCCGTACATAATACTATCGGATGCGAAGGTTTCACTCGGCATTGGCCCCTTTAAATTCCTGAGATTTCATCCCAACGGTCAATGGTAAATTTCATGAAATTATAAGGCAGTGGAGCCAATATACTCCGTACGAGTCTCGCAGATCTTCCGTTCAAGTTAGGGCACATAGACGGAGTAGGTGGCGCACCAATAGGTGACAGAACCCGCTCTATGTAGTTAGCTGTATAGGTATATTGTTTATCACGTGACATGTACGGAGTAACTAACTAAATGGAATGGATTCTTCATTTTCCTTATATTATTCCTTCGGGTATGAGTTGCTGTCGATTCTCTCTTTTTTTGGTCTTGGTATGTATAAATAAGTACTATGAATAATAGATAGGAACCTGAATGTTTAAAGGGACAACTCTGTTATCGAAAGGAAGACGTCCTATATATATATATATATACCCTTTACAGCTAGCAAATGGACCATGTATATTTATTGACACTGCCGTTTTGTATGGTAAATTAGTCTTGCTTCTAAGCGAAAAGCAACTTAATACGAGGTCCCCCTCCGTATAACATACTCTGTAGGCCCCAATATAAAACCTTATATAAGGAGAAGTATAATTGACCGCAAGAAGAGTCTAGAATAAAATCTTTAGAATAGTCCTAGGTACAGCCACATTTATGAATATGACCATACACACTTAAAAGGAAACCACCAAGTTTTAGTTATACGGATAACATCTACCTACCCTACCTACTACCTACCTACTACACCTAAGAATAAAATATTATAATGCTTTAAAAAAAAAAAAGTAAAGTTAAAAAAGAAGATACGTCAGCACTAGGACTCGAACCTAGGCTCACGAATGAACAGCATATCGGATGTTTATATTCGAGTGCTGCGCCTTAACCACTCGGCCATACTGACGTAATATAAATGTAGAGTTACACTTAGATATATTTATATGATATAAGTATAAATAGTGATAAATATAGATAGCCGAAATATAAGCCTAGAGAAGCAAATTTAGAATTAAAATAGGGAATTGCTAACACCGTCCCAGGGAGAAATTAGAGCGCTCTTGATATCCTAAAAGATGAAGAGATCCTTGCATTGACCGAGACGATACATCAAATCCTATGCAACTCTCGAGGGATATATGACCTCGTGATACGATTTTGGATGTTTTTACATAATCGCCTTCTCCGCATCCACGTGAGTCTCCCGATCCCGCAGTTCCCTCAACTTTCCGACTTTTTTGTTTCTTTATTTTGTTTAGTCGCATTTATCCTCGGCAATCGTTTCGGAGTTCGCCATGCCGTGAAGTGACTGGTGCTAGCGACTCGAATAATGCAGAATCGTGGCCGATTTGGACGAATGATGTCAATGGTACTCCTGCCATGTCCTCCGTCAACGATAACGCCCCCTCGCCGCTCCCGGTGGATGGGGTGAGCAAGCGCAAACAAGGTAAGCGCTTGTGCCCCCTGTCTGGATCGTTATGCATCTCGATTCGTGGTGTCTCTTCTCTTCTTCCGGTTATCGGTTCTTTTTTCGCGATCAGACTCGCTGACCGGTGACTCAAAAAACTCTTAGGCTCCGCAGCTTGTGTCCACTGTCACCGGCGCAAGGTTCGCTGCGATGCCCGTACCGTCGGGACACCCTGCACTAACTGTCGCGCCTCCGGAAAGGCCGACTGTCGCATACACGAAAAGAAAAAGCGTCTTGCAGTACGCTCAATCCTAGATCCCGTACCGATCCGATCTCGGCCTCTACCCACTTCTGAACCCACTTCAAACCCTGCTCTTGCAGCGGGGACACCCCTACCACCAAGTTTTCCAACTGCATTCCAGAGCGGCCATGCTGCATCAATATCTGGGGGCCTTCCGCAACATGGATTCCAGCAAGGCACGGGATCGGACACATTTGGCCGCCACGGCCCCGACATGGCGCATGCCCACGAGGCACACTCGGAGATGGAGCAACATCTCGTTAAATTGATAGATGAAGAGGAATCCGGCAGAAGAGAGATTCAAAGAGGCGTGCGCGCCTTCTATGTCGGGCACGAACTTTCGAACATGTCATTCTTGATTCGACAACAGCGAGAGCAAGATGACGATGTATACCATTTTGCGAGCAACGAAATTCCAAGGCGTCAAATGAAGACGGGTCATGATCAGCTTCTTATGGATGCTCTAACACTTCCAGAACCGGCTCTCGCAGATGAATTGGTCCAAGCTTATTTCACATATGTCAATCCGGGGTACCCTATCATCGACGAAGATTTATTCATGACACAATACCGGAATCGGGATCCTGCAGATCCTCCACCAGTTTTACTTCTTCAAGCAATTTTGCTGGTTGGGGCGCATGTTTCTCGTACAAAAGTAGAGCGAGATGCTCTCAAAGAAATTTTCTTCCGCCGCACCAAGTATCTGTTTGACAATCGCATCGAACGAAATCGCGACATTCTTGTCCAAGCGGCCCTTCTTTTGACGTGGCACTCGGATAGCGCAGATGATGATGTTGCTGCAGATGCTCACTTTTGGGTTGGGGCCGCTGCACGTATCGCCACGGGGCTTGGAATGCACCGTAATCCCGTATCTAGTAGCTTCGTGACTCGCGATCGGCGGATGTGGCGGAGAGTTTGGTTCATTCTGGTCCAATTTGATGTGTTGATTTCCCTGTCATATGGCCGACCTCAAGCGATGTAAGCCATTCCAAACGGCCAAATTGCAGCAAATACTAATCAAGTTTCAATTTAGCAACCTGGACGATTCCGACGTGTCTCCTTTGACTCCCGCCGATTTTGAGAATTGTGGTCCTCTTGTGCAAGCAGAATACGTGATGCATTTCACCGAACTTTGTACGATGATCTCATATCTCATTCGCGACCGGTTTGGACTTCGGGCGAGTGAAGAACGGCGAAAGGCCGTTCTTCAAGAAGCCGACGGATCACTGGCAACATGGTCTCTGAAACTTCCTGATAATCTTCGGCTTCGCGCATCTGATATGGACCCTTGGTCCGCCATGCTCCACTTGACCTACAACAACTTCCTCATTCTGCTGCATCGGCCTCATCCCAGAGCCTCGGCCTATTCCGATGACTATGGCCCTCATGACGCAGAAATTTGCAGTGCAGCTGCCGGGGTCATAGCCTCAATATTTGAGGAGCTCAGGATGCATGAGCGCTTGAAATTCCTTTGGTACACTGGCGTCCATACCCTCTTTACGGCCATGATCCAAGTCCGAGTGGAGCTCCGATTCTCCAATCCAGTTCTTGCCATCAATGCCTTACGCCGCTTCGATTCTGCCTCCTACTCGCTGCGCGAGTTAGCTCAGTACTGGGTTCACGCTGGCACGATCCTGCGACTCTTCGAGGACTCCAAACGTCTGCAAGAGGATCTTCGGATGGCAACCACGGAACGACCGAAGCAGTTCGGCGACAATCATCATGCGCACAAGATGCCCATTGCCTCTCCTGTTCCATCAATTACCATGCATACCCCTGGACCACTCTCCTTTGGTGTGCCCACCCCTGAATCCACCACCCCTCTCCAAACAACCCTCTCACCACAACCCAATGCTCCCCAATTTAATCATTGGATTGCCCCTCTCCGGCTTAATGTTGGCCCTTTGGAAAGGAATGATCCTTTCTCGAGCAGCATGCAAGTGGATTCCATCGAGCCAGCCCGCGATTATCCGGACTGGAGACAGCTATTCTCCTTCGGTGATATAGACCTACCTCCCCCCGTGGGAAGTGAAGGTCTGCTTGAGCTTGAAGATGAATGGCGGCAGATCTACTGGCAGGATGCCCCAATGGCAGATCTCATCCACGATGGAGGATGGATACATAGCTAGCTTTGACTCGCTATCTCTGGTTGATGACTGTATAGAGCTGTCATCTTTTCCATCGCCTGCTCTCCACATACCTTTTCTTCTTTGACGACGAGACGAGCCATGCCAGGGCACGCATATATACACGATACATTTTAGAGACCATGTCAGGTCACAGACACCTACAGGCCCAGCCTACGATACCATGTCACAAACGATCACATACAATGATAGAGATATACCATGTCATATAATTGCAAATAGTGATATCAGATAGAATCAGTTGGGGTCTTTTTGTATCTCGAATCAACAACCTAGGAAATAACAATGGATGTACGTACGAGAGTGTTCCGAATCGCGCCATATATGCGTCTACGCTAATTGCACGGCTTAAGGATACTGTAAGAAATCAGAAATCGAACCGAGGCTCACCCATGCAGGAATAGAGAAATGAAACACAAGACCTAGCCAAACACAAACCGCCGCCAATTATCCGCA